TCCGTGTTAAAAAGTCTCATATACACAAAAAACACAATATAAACACACGATCTTGGACCGATACATGACATGATATCACAGAACAGCGCTACGCCCTCTGCTGTCCTGGTGGGGAATTGCTTTGCAACACTCCCCAGGAGACGGAGAAGTATGAGAGCAAAACGCTTCCGTCAATCCGTGCGTGTCTGTCCCTTGCGGAGCTGACGGAGAAGCATAAACCAGGCTTTACATCTAGCAGCATAGCTGACATTTTAACACTAGTCAGAAGGCAGGAACCGCCCCCTCCTCCTTCATTGCTCTCTCATTGGCTGAGAGTTTTCAATCGTCTTCTGCCTAAAAGGAAATGTGCACCCACAGATGGTACATCAATTCAACCTGCTTGGTCCCAGGAGTCTTGTATTAACTTGATATTGTGCTCTGCATTTCCATGGCAACGTGCTTAGCAACAATATTTAACAACATTTTAGACACAACTGTATCAACATACTTTAATATAGAAATGTTATTCAAAGTTTAAATGACTCATGTGTTATTGTACATAGCTTTATTAATGCAGACTTCTGTCATCTGTTACCATGGCAACACATGGAACTACAAATCACTTTAACCAAGTCTCATAGGAATGAATATAAAAGAAGAATATTGAGCCATTAACAGACTCCTGTTTTTGTACTGTTTGTACTTAAAACTAGAAATAAGTTCAATTTCATTGACCGTCAGAAGGTGGGAAAGTGCCCCGCTCCCTCCCAGCTCCCTTATTGGTTGAGAGAGGTCAATCATCTTCTGGCTAGATGGAATTACACACCCACGCATGTGAGACATCAAATTGATCGGCTTGGCCAAAGGAATCCATCCATCTACATATAAATCCATACATGCTTCTATCTATCCATCCATCCATCCATCCATCCATCCAATAAACCATCTAACATCCATCCAGCAATCCATCCGTTATTTCATTCATCCAACTCTTCATCCATCCCATATCAAATCTGAACATATGTTCATCTATCAGTTTCACATATCAGCAAATATTTCTAAATTCACAGTCCAGCCAATTGTAAAAATGTACCCGTTAAACTGTTCTCATTCAAAGGCCAGCTGTTTAACATTTCACATTTCGAGTTTTTGATAAATGTTCAAAGATTACAATTGTCTGCTGTTTAGCATTTTGATCCATTCTTCGCCTATATTATGAGCTACATTACGCTTGTTGGTGATTTTTGCTTCTACATCTTTAAATACATTCAGCTCATTTTGACAGTTCTGCTTTGTTTCAGCTTCAGCTCAGCTGTTCGGCAGCTTCAGCTTACAGTTTCAGCTGCCCAGCATTCAAACAGCATTTGTGCAACAAATGCAATTTTTCTAGTTATTATTATTCTGAGCTACTACAGCAATCAATTTCCCTCTGGGATTAATAAAGTATTTTTGAATTGAATAGAATTGAATTAGGAAGATTTTAAATTCTATCTGCTCAAAATGGCATCTAAAGAAGGCAACCGAACCTTAGCTGGGAAATCTGAATTATTTAACTAAAGGAGATAAATGTTAAATGATGAATGACCCGCACTTGTATAGCACCTCTCAGAGTAAGGACTCCAAGGCGCTTTACACTACAGTGTATCATTCATCCATTCACACAAACATTCACACACTGGTGGTGATGAGCTACGATGTAGCCACAGCTGCCCTGGGGCGCACTGACAGAGGCGAGGCTGCTGGGCACAGGCGCCACCGGACCCTCCGACCACCACCAGCAGGCAAGGTGGGTTAAGTGCCTTGCCCAAGGACACAACAGCAGAATTCTCTCGAACCTGCAACCTTCTGATTACTGGACAACCCGCTCAACCTGTTGAGCTACTGCTGCCCCTGTCAAAAGTTCCCTTTTGACCTCCATCATTACAGTTTAGAGTACTTTGATTCCCATCAGCCTCTGTGTCTTCCTGTGCAAAGTTCCTCTTAAACCCTCTGATCAGTATCACTCCCCACCAGAGACCTCTCAGGTGGGCCTGTTATTCACATCACCACACACACACACACACACACACACACACACACACACACACACACACACACACACACACACACACCTTCCCTTGAAAACAGCACAAATCAAGGGCCACTCTCATTACAGCAAAGGGGACTGGCTAATCTTACTCTTATAGTTTCGTTTACCTGAGCAGGAATAAGAGAGGAAGACCCTTATCTCTGATGATGAATTCACTCTAGACATAAAGGGGGTAAATCAATGGAGTGTGTGTGTGTGTGTGTGTGTGTGTGTGTGTGTGTGTGTGTGTGTGTGTGTGTTGAGAAAACTCCAAAGGAAGCGGAGATATTCAGTGTGCGTAGCACACAGAGCTCAGGGGCGAAGTGTGTTAGTGAGTCCCCTGGGAGGGCGACGAGGTGAAGGGGGGATGTGTAATGGAACAGCAGTTACTTATCGGTGGGACCCGAATGTCGATGGGTTTATTTATATTGACTGAGACTCCAGGCCCTCTTGATATTTAAAGAGTGAGGGAAGGGGAGGGAGAGGAAAGAGCGGGAAGAGAGAAATGTTTTCCTGAAGCAAATGTCATGAAGATAAAATGCAAATACAAGGAAAAGGCACAGGTCTTTGTGTGTAAAAGTTAGATATACCTACCAACTTTCTGACTTGTTTGAAGGAACAGTGTTACATTCTTCAGGACTAATGAGCTATCGGCTAGTCTGAGCACAGCATGACCCAACGGTACCTGAACTTATCCTCCAACAGACACACATGATTAAAGGAAAATTCTCACACAGTCATGAAACTATGTAGTGACGATGATTCGATTCAATTCAAGATTATTTATAAAGCGCCAAATCACGACAAGAGTCGTCTCAAGGCACTTCACACAGTAAATATTCCAGTACAGGTCAGTTCATTAAGCCAATCAGTAAAATGTTTCCTATATAAGGAAACCAGCAGGTTGCATCAAGTCACTGACTAGTGTCAGTGACTTTACAGCAATCCTCATACTAAGCAAGCATATAGTGACAGTGGAGAGGAAAACTCCCTTTTAACAGGAAGAAACCTCCAGAGGATCCTGGCTCAGTATAAGCAGCCATCCACCACGACTCACTGGGGATGGAGAAGACAGAGCAGACACACACACACACACACAACATATATACCAAGTAGTGTGTTTCTATGGTTACGTTGTGATTTCTTAGTAAATATTCTATTTGGTGAGAGATAAACTTTATTGTATTTATCCTAGTGAATCTATAATTAAACGGATAAACTAGCAGTAGCACATCCAACTTCAAGGAAACAAAAAGTTATTATCAGGAGAGGGAGAATGTTTAAGTGGTTAGCAGCAGTGTGCTAGACGATGGCCCCCTCCATGAGGCCACCACAGCTCAGCAGAACATCATTGTAGCTTCTTCTGGGGAGAAAAACACTTAGAGAAAAAATAAAGTTAACAGCTGAAGTAGCAGGAAATAGTACAGTTAAAGAGCAAATTGTAGAAGAAAGTAGCAGAATGTGGAAAGTGGTTTATTGGTCCAGCAGTCTAAGCCTATAGCAGCATAACTACAGAGATAACTCTGGATAACCTAGCCTTTTAGATGGAGGCATGTTGGAGGCAGGGCAAGGGAGAGCCATCTTTACCGACTGTACACTCCATCTCCCTCTACTCCCCCACTTGTCCAGATTTAGGCTAACATTAGATTTTAACCATAGGCCCTATCAAATAAAAATGTTTTAAGCCAAGTCTTAAATGTAGACAAAGTGTCTGCCTCACGGACTAAAGCTGGGAGCTGGTTCCACAGGAGAGGAGCCTGATAACTAAAAGATCTGCCTCCCATCCTAATTTTAGATATTCTGGGAACCACCAGTAAACCTGCAGTCTGAGAGCGAAGTGCTCGGCTAGGAACGTATGGAACAATCAGATCACTGATGTATGATGGAGCTTGATTATTAAGAGCTTTATATGTGAGAAGAAGGATCTTAAAATATATTCTGAATTTAACAGGTAGCCAATGTAGGGAAGCTAAGACAGGAGAGATATGATCTCTCTTTTTAATTCTCATCAGAACTCTAGCTGCAGCATTTTGGACAAGCTGAATACTTTTAACTACATTCTGTGGACTTCCTGAGAGTAATGAATTACAGTAATCCAGTCTTGATGTAATAAATGCATGAACTAGTTTTTCAGCATCACTCCTGGAAAGTATGCTTCTAATATTAGCAATATTCCAGAGGTGGAAAAAGGAAATCCTACAAACCTGTTTAACCTGGGATTTGAATGACATGTCCTGGTCAAAGATAACACCAAGGTTCTTTACTTTGTTCTCGGAGATTAATGTAATGCTATTCAGGTCAGGTGATTGGCTAAGCAATTTCCTTTTCTGGATTTCTGGTCCAAAGATGAGAAATTCCGTCTTGTCTTGATTTAAAAGCACAAAGTTTAGAGTCATCCAATTTTTTATGTCCTCAAGACAAGCCTGTAATCTACCTAACCGATCAGGTTCATCAGGTTTAATGGATCAATATAACTGAGTATCGTCAGCATAACAGTGGAAGTTTATCCCATGCTATCTAATGATTTTACCGAGATTTACCAAGATTCCCAGCCACAAATCCAAACTTTAGCTCAGTGTAAAACTGCTTGATTTATAACCAGCACTGAGATGCTAGCAGAGCTAAAACCAGTGTGTTTGCTACTTTATTAACACGCCTCAAATAACCTACATGTTACAAGGGGTCATGTGTGACTTTATAAACCGTTAAAAAGCTGTTAATATTATTTCACACAATTATTTACTCAGAATAATGTTGTTTTACAAGCGTGAATGAAAGTGGCAGGAGAAAATGGCACTTCTGGAGATGGTTCATTAATAATCATGAATGCATTTCATCATCTCAGATGCATCCAATCTTTTTCAAGCAACTAAACTTTTCTGCTTGACAATCAGAAGGCTGCCAATGGACCTAAATCATCTAAACTCAGTGTTTCCTTCTCAACTCTGTGCAGGTCTTCAGTCTGATCTAGAACCAGCTATCATGGAGGGAAGGCTGGACGAGAGTCCCAGGAGCTCCGCCATGCTGACTCCAGTGTCTGAGGTCTCCTCCATGGAGCTGGTCACCCTTTCCCCTCCTCAGATTTCACCTTCCTCTCAGCTCTCTGAGACAGTATCAGACACCAGCACAGCGGAAGTCACAGAGGTCATTGAGGTCACAGAGACTGTGGCTCTGACCAGTGAGTCAGGTAGCCTTGCTGCAGAGCCATCCACAAGAAATGAGGAGTCACGCACAGAAGTCAACAAAGACCCCAAAAAGAGCAAAGCTCACCTTCACTGTCCTGTTTGTAAAGTCACTGTCAACTCTGTCTCCCAACTGGAAGCACATAACAGTGGTACGGCATGACTCAGAGGCTTTTATTCTTTTGAACTGAAATGTTTTAAAAAGGCTTCCTGCACTGGCTGTTTCCTTTCAGTGTCAGATGGATGTTTTTAGTGCTAACTCCAAACCAGTCAGCTCTCTGCTCTCCTGACCAGGTACAAAGCACAAACTGATGCTGGAGGGTCACAGTGTTCTGCCACGACGCCGGGGGAAGGTGGTGGCAGCTCGAGCCGGCTGCAAGAGCAAGAGGCTGGGCAGCAAAGGCAGCGTTGGGGTCCCCAGCAAGAACTTCCAGTGTGAAGTGTGTGAGATCTTTGTGAACTCTGAGGCCCAGCTAAGCCAGGTAAATATGTTAGTAAATATGACTTACAGAGTTGTGGATGGGGTCATGGGAGTCTGCTTCTCAGGTCCACGTATGTTTGGTAGAACTGGAGAAGGCTTTCCATCATGTTCTAAAGCAGCAGGCTCCACCAGAACGGCTCATTGTCTCTGATGAACCTGGAGATCTGGTCTGCTTTAGGAACCCTTGGTTCTCCTCATCTGTTGAGAGCTCAGAGAGGAAACGCTGCTCCGCATCATTTGAAGGGGTCAGCTCAGATGGTCCGATTAGGATCTTCACCTCCCTCTGGAGGTTTTCTGTCCTGGGCTGAGGGCAACCTCTCTGTCAGGTAGAGCCATGGGATAAAATGTTTAATTCCACCCATAAAGTAACAACCTCGTATTCTTATTCAAAAGAAGATGTAAGTTAGATGTGTGGTAGTTAAATATCTGTTTGTTGGGTTGATAACTTTCTGATCCGTTTGTCTGATGCATCCATTTTTGTGATTTTCCATAACAAGAGTGAGAAATAGATCACTCAGCCCTGGGATGTTGTCAGGAATCATCAGATTAGTAAAAATTCATTCTAATAGGTAATTATAAAAGTAAACATCTGTTCTGGAAAGGAAGGACACCCCTTTGAACTTTGCACCTTCAACACCCCTAAGCAGGGAAGTGTTGATGTGGAGGTGGGGGATGGGTACCGAATTCGGTACTTTTTAAGGTACCGACTGAATTCCATAGTACCGACTGAGCACCGATTCACATCATTTGAAACGGTGCCTCATTTTGGTACCGTCCTTCACAACGAGAACTTGCCTAGACCGCTGCGCATGCGCAAGAGCGTTATGTCGTCGGTCGCTGCGAGCCGGTTGTAAACAGAGCAGTATGGTAGAAAGAACGCACGCTAAAGCTTGGGTCCACTCCACTAAATGTGATGGGTAACTGGGTGATGATGAAACCAGCGACAACGAACTACGTGAGACATCCTCATCTTAATCTGCTCCGGTAGGTAAATAAAATGTTTAAGATAACGTTAGCTTGATTTGTTAGCTTCCGTTTCACTAATGGTGCGTTCGCTTTCTCCTCGGAACTCCGATATTCCGACTGGAAGAACATGAACGCGCTCTAAAGTTTGGCTTCACTTTACTAAATGCGACGGGTGATTGGGTGATGATGAAACCAGCGACAACGATCTAAGTGTGCGGCATCGTCGTTTTAGTCTGCTCCAGCAGTTAAATAAACTGTTTAAGATAACGTTAGCTTGATATGTTAGTTTCCATTGCCACCATTGTTATCAGCTAATGGTGCGTTCGCTTTCTCCTCGGAAATTCTAACTTCCCAGTAGGAAAAATCAATTGAAAAAATACGGTAAAAGGAATGAAGATACACAGTAAATTTAGTTCACAGTAAAGATGTTTGCTTCAGTTTAATTATCAGCTTATAAAACTACAAGGACGATGTTGAAATACAAACTGTTGTATGTTATTTATCGTGATATTTATCAAATATGGTTTTATATGAAGAAAAATATATATTTAATTATAAAAGAGAATTAAAATAATAAACACTCAAAAGTATCGAAAATTGATACCGTTAAGTACCGGTATCGATTCCTAGGTACCGGGAATTAGTACCGAATCGATTCAAATGTCAAAGGTACCAATCCCTAATCCTAATGATGGATGAATGGATCAGAATGCCATCATCCAACTCTTGTCATTTATAAAACATTAGAAGGGAATTAGCAGCTTGGGGAGATCCTACAGATTTGTCCTCATGAGCATGTTGCTAACCTGTGGAAGTGATGCTGACTCAGCCGGAGCAGCACTCCTGTCCAATCATACCGGGCGGTGGAAGAATGGTTGCTCACTGTTTCCTCAGCTGCACACGAGTTATGATGTGGCTGCAGAATTAATCAGAACACAGATAGTTATCCATCCCCTCAGACATCAAGAGTCTGATATTTGACATTTACTTCGGATCACTCTGACCTGTGAGCTAAAGCCATCAGAAATGATGAAGCGATGAAGATGAGCGACAGATTTTTAAAAACGTCTTTAATCTAAAGTGATCAGTTTAATGTTAGTTTGATGGAGTGTGTGCGAGAGCCTAATTAGAAGCAGCAGTTTCATTTACAGCCACACAAATGAAGTGTAGGCAAGCTGTGAGCGGAAGCTACATTCAAGCTGCTATTTTTCAACCCTGAACAGAAATCATCTAACACTTTAATAAAATCCTCTGTGAGCAGGCGTTTATTTGCCACTCATTATTGCAAGCTACAGTGCCTCCTGTGCTGCTTCTGGATATATCAGCATCAAACCAGGTTAGGGAGGTAATTTTTCTGTGTTTAAGGTTCATTTAATGCCATGTCAGTGAGTCAAAAGGCTGTCTGTGCGGGAATGGAATGTGGAAAAAATAGGGTATAAAAATAAAAATAGGCTGGCGTGTGTGAGCACCCCAGCTGCTTTAGCCTTAAATGCATTCTACCAGTCTTATATAAACATCCTGTGTCCCGGGAGGATGAAAGCTTGTGAGTACTGCAACCAGCAAAGCTGTGCAAGCAGCCTCACAAAGTAATGTGATGTAATTTATGTGCACCTCAGTCTTACCCGTATCCATTATTCAGCAGACAACTTCTGAGGTTGTACCTCCGTGGTCCGACGGAAGCTCGGGAGCTTACTAATGCTATTTTTGCTGGTCCTTTGCAGCACATGAACAGCAGAAGGCACAAGGATCGTCTGGCTGGAAAACCACCCAAACCCAAATTCACCCCCCACAGCAAGAGCCAGCCGAGCTCCGGCCTAGCGGTGAGTCTCGGCGTGAACACAGGCAAACAAACGGTCGCGCAGAAAAGCAGGCTTACGAAAAACAAGCAAAACAGAAACAACATGTGTATAATAAATATCATGTTGTAGCACCGCTTGGACATATATATATTTAGCAAAACTGGAATAACTTTGTCTTCACTCAGTTTTAATTAGCTCCTTTTGGGTAGGGCTAGGGTAGAAAGGAATCATTGGATGTAGAATTAAAACTGATCAGCTATTCAACATTATCAGAAGCAAAAATCTGTGTATTTCTGCTCCCTGTACATATATTGAGCTAAGATTTGGTGTGGTAGAAGTTAAAACTCATCCCCATAACATATTAAATATTACTGTATGAACTTTGCTTTAGAAATCATTCGCTCTGGAAGTGAAATTTGTTTGTTCAGTGGAAATAAACACAGCCAAGACTGTAGCAATAGAAAGGACTACACTCACTAAAAGAATGTGAAATTGAAAGAAAAAGTAGACAATGAGTGAGCGGAACCTAGAAGCGGTTATATATTTGAGTTCTGGTTTTCTGAAGCGTGTTTCTCCATTTGAAGTAATTAGAATAAATTCCTTAAAGGAAGGACTGGACAGAAGACGGAGCTGCAACTTTTACAACTACAGCCAGATGGAGGCATGTTGGAGGCAGGGCAAGAGAGAGGCGTCTTTACCGACTGTACACCCCGCTGTACACTCCGCCTCCCTCTACTCCCCCACTCGTCCAAATCAGAATTTAATCATAGGCTCTATAAAAATATGTTTTAACATCTGCTTCACAGACTAAAGCTGGGAGCTGGTTCCATAAGTAGGGATGAGCGGATAAAGCATTTTTGACGAATACGAGCATGAAACGAGTAAAACTCGTAAATATCTGTACTCGTGCTGAAGGAAAATCCTCAATGGGTAACTGACTGTCTTCACGCTCTGTGATTGGCCAGTCACTTAGAGTGCCCGCCCCTCCCTACACACATAACTCTCTAGCCGGCCGGGAGCGCAGTCCGTCCGGCTCATCCACACACACACACACAGACAGTAACGGATCTCGCTGTGGTTGCTTCACTGTTGCTCACTTTTCTTCAGTAGTCCCTAGGTTTTCTTCAACTCGCCTCTTTTTCGGATGAATATTTAAAGTTACTTTTTTCGTAACTTACATGGTGCATTTGACAAGACAGAGCTGATGTGCTTTGTTAGTCACTACCTCCGCTCCGGTCGGGTTTTTTCTTAACTCCCTCTCCCTCCCTCGCTCCCTCTCTCTCTCTCTCTCTCTCTCTCTCTCTCTCTCTCTCTCTCTCTCTCTCTCTTTCTCTCTCTCTCTCTCTCTCACACACACACACACACACACACACACACACACCTTAATCAACATTGTTTTGTTTAACTTTGTGTGGGAAAATGCCAAGAACGTTGAGGAAAAAATCAGTTTAATCAAATTAAAATTAAAAATACATATATAAAGTTGCGTCTGGTTCTAGCATTTCATATTTCCTAGTTCCTACTGCATGAGTTCATATGTATTAATCCATGCACTTAAATATTAATGTTCTGATTTTATTGAAAAACTTGTTCTGTAATAGTTTCTTTACTATTGTGATCAAAAATATTTAATCTCAATTCTGAGGCTGCTCTGTAAACAGTTTTCAAATAAACAATACACATATCAACTTCTGATCAATCCATATCAATTTCAGATTTAAAATAATATATTGATGTAAACCACACCCACTTCCGGTTAAACCACGCCCACTTCCAGGTTATACCACGCCCATTCCGAGTACAGATACAGATAATTTAGTTGGTTGAACAAATACAGATAGTGATGTACTCGCTCATCCCTATCCATAAGAGAGGAGCCTGATAGCTAAAAGATCTGCCTCCCATCCTGCTTTTAGGTTTTCTTGGAACCACCAGTAACCCTGCAGTGAAATAATCACACGATAGCCGAATGCCTCAATCTTGTTGGAAGATAGGTTATATTGAAACAGATTTCCTTCTCAGCCAACTGGGGGGTTGTTTGTTTTTCAACAATGAAGGATGTAATCACTGTTTACAAAATAAAAATGTGATTTTTAAAAATGTTTTAAAATATATATTTTAAAGGAAAAGCTGTACATTCATTCTGCACAGACCTAAATGCCCCGTGGAGGTATTACTTATTTTAAATATAGCTTTTTATTAAAATGTTCCATATTCCACCTTTATATGATGAATGATAAATGACCCACACTTGTATAGTGCCTTTCAGAGTCAGAGGACTCCAAAGCGCTTTACGCTACAGTGTATCATTCGTCCATTCACACACGCATTCACACACTGATGATGATGAGCTACAATGTAGCCACAGCTGCCCTGGGGCGCGCTGACAGAGGCGAGGCGCCACATGTCCCTCCGACCACCACCAGCAGGCGAGGCGGGTTAGGTGTCTTGCCCAAGGACACAACAGCAGAATTATCTGTCCAGAGCTGGGATCAAACCTGCAACCTTCCGATTACTGGACAACCTGTTGAGCTACTGCTGCCCCAATCGTAGATCATAATGGAGACACACACAGTGATATTTGAGAAGTGAAACAAAGTTTATAGGATTTACACAAAGTGTGCAATGATAAACAGAATTAGGCAGGTGCATAAATGTAGGCACTGTTGTTATCTTATTGATTCCAAAACCTTTACAACTAATTATTGGAACTCAAAGTTGGTTTGGTAAGCTCTTCTTTGAAGTTTCTCTGAAGAGAAATCAGCGGCAAGCCCACAGGCCCGACTGCAGCCTCCCACCCCTAGCCGGCCGAGCCCGGGACCCAGCGACCCGAGACCCAGGGACGACCACCCCCCGCCGGGGACCCAGCAGAGCCCAGGGACCCAGACCCCACCAGGCAGCCACCAGGATTGATCAGGCAGACGCCAAAAATCTTAAACCACCTGACCCGGGAGCCACGAACACTCAGGCAGACCAAGGCACCGCACCCCACACCAGGTGTGGCAGGGGGAAGGGAGACGAAGATCTATATCATCAATAGAAGTCCCAGGAGAAGGGAGGAGTCTAAGGCAGAAGGAAGAAAAAAAGTCATGATCTGAGGCACTCCGAAAAATAATTTATTATAATATAAGCCAATTCTTAAGGTGATTTGTTTGATGTTATTACTTCAAGGAATCCGAGGCCTTTAATTTTTCTCAGTTCTGGTTAACTGACAAACCTGCAGACTGAATTATGTTGCATTTAAGACCATCCCCGGTATATCGTTATTTGCCAGCAGGCCTGTGTGCATGTAAATGACCCGCACTTGTATAACGCCTCTCATAAGGACTCCAAAGCGCTTTACACTACAGTGTGTCATTCATCCATTCACACACACATTCACACACTGATGGTGATGAGCTACGATGTAGCCACAGAGGTACTGTCACAGAGGTTAAACACACTTTTATACTCCGTTAGTCCCCTACCCCTGAGACAGGTCTAATTTAGTCCTGTTCTCCTGTCCGGCCTGAGTCCGCACTCCAGATTAATCACTTCTCTACTCCTGTCCTCTCTCTCCTGCTCCTCCATGCTGCAGAACATCAGATGGAGTGGCTATGCAGGCATGGCTGTGTCCACCATGAAGAAAGCCTTCACCCAGTGCAACCTCACCACCCTCTCCTCACAGGTCAGTGGCAGGAGAGGCCAAAGCCAGGTCTGGATTGGAGGCCGGTAGATGGGGCAGCTGAGCTTTAGGTGTGATGGTTCAGCAGAAGGAGCAGACGATTGAAGTCATTTTTATATTCAATTATTGGTTTTTGATTAGGTTATTTTTATTCTCAGAAAAATGTTAGATAAAATCACAGCAGCTCCATGTTAATTACCAGCAGAGAGACCAGTCATAAAAAATGAATTAACTCTTTTTCCCTACATGGACTTTATTTATATGAATATATTTGGATCACTGATAATACAATTTAACCAACCATCTCCAAAAAGCAATGGGTCAAATGTAAACTTTGTTTTAAATTGGAACTTTTGACAAA